ACAAATAATACACAAATTAAGGCTTTATTACATTTTAAGCGATATATCTATGATTCACATAAGAAAATGATACAAAACTGAATGATAAACAATGAAATGGCTTTTCGGCACACATTTAAGGAAGTCTTTAATTAAAGTCATTTTAGAGACATTTTATGGACAAAAATGACAATAAATTTATATATATTAGTAATATTTATATATATATTCTTATATTAATAGTAATAATTGTCGCTAAATATGTGCTAATAAATGCTAAAAACAAACAAACATTTTGAATAATAATGTCATACAATGAATATTAGGACAATTGAGCGGTGATTCACTAAAACTAGTTACAAATGAAGCGATAATTAGATGAAAGATTTGTTTCGAATTGAAACACAATATAAATATTTTGTCGCAAAACTAAAGTATTTGAAATATTTAACCGGTTTTTCAAATAGTAATAAAAGGCACGAATTAATCAATGAATCGACAAAGACTTGAATTGTTGGCCAAAATCCTCATAAATAAGTATATTTAAAGCTTAACAGTAGTTCATGTCGTATATAAATATCACATTCAATAATACTGTCTCAATGACCATAACTGAGATAAATGTGATAATAATTAGATTATAATTCTTATAATAAAATCATGAGTTGATGCCATAATTCTAATAAAATAATCCGAAAATATATCATAAAAATGCCAAATAAATGATTGGAAAAACTCTTTTGCTAGTGAGTGGTGAATGTGTTGATAAGGGAATACTGTGATCATACGATGGTATGTATTTGCCGGGCTTTCCTCACGAGTATGGATAGACTGGTCAGATGTGACACAGGCTTCGAGAGCTCCCATATCTTGATCCCAATCTTATTGAAATCGATTTTATTCTCAAATAATTCGCAACAGTTTGGAAACTCTGATCTGTGAACTAATCATACAAACACTTTCATAAGATATCAGGTTTATTAGGCAATGAAAACACAAATCTTACCTAAAGTTCCATTAATATACAGAGTATTTGCTGCCGTGTTCTCGGGAACAGTCAGTGTATGGTATCGATGAGTGGCCTCACGTACTATTCGCTGTCATTATTCATACGTTTAATACAATCATTTTATGTCAATTAACATACATTACAACAAATGTCTGTTCACTTACTCTAAGAATTTCTTGTGCCTCTTGTGATGAGCTGACACACAGAATGTCTGAACCGGCCATTGATAGGCATGACTTTAAATGCAATAATTTGTTTGGGATTCTGATGGGAGTGACGGGATATTCAGGAAAGGCTGCGGCCACAGCTCTGGCACCGGACTCATTGGTTCGCTGAGATAATCCCACAAATATTTCGCGTCCTATTGTGTGTCAACATTGAGAGCAATTTGTGTGAATTTCAAAAGTATGATATACAGAGTATTGTGTGAATTAACAAAATACCGGTGAATAAGACATCCCCGCCGTCGAGAGTGGCCTTCGGGTCTGCGATCTCAATGACAGGCAGTTTAAGCTCTTTTTTAATTATTGCTCGGATTGTGTCGACCTTTCATTACAAACATATTCACAAAATACATTTATTACAAATT